TTTCAATTAAGCTTTAATAGCTTCACATTTCGCTGTAATTTACTGTATAGGAAATCGGAAAAAATTGAGGAGTAGAATCTTCAAAGGATACTTCTACAAAGAGCAAGTTTTGAAAACTAGGAAAGGTTCAGCCTGGCCGAGAATAGGGGAAACGAGGGTATGTAAAGGCTCACCAAGGATTTGGCGACGTTCCCACGGTTGACGACATTTTTACTGAACTGCGAATTGGCCACGGTCATACGCTGTTTTGGGGCCATTCCTGAAAGAAGCTTTTAAGACGTTTTAGGACTTTTAGAGCCCCATTCAGACACGTTGTTAAAAGTTGAAGTCGTTGCGAATAGAAAACGGCTGAAGGAAATAGAAAGTTCAGGAAAAGAACGGAATAATGTTGAGCTATTGGAACGCCGCACGCTTACAGAACATATTTTCAATGGGAACGTGAACGCCATTTGTGAAGCCATACCACCCGCCGACGCATATGTAGCATTGATCACGAACTCAGGATTACGATAGTGTGGGCGGAGCTCGTATATACTACGGTATCTGGCAAATTGATGCATCATGTGGCGTGTATTACTGCACTGCAAGGTCTCACACGGAGTGAGAATATTTGAAGTGCTCGATTCAAACGAAATAGCTGGTGAATTATATGTAAAACAATATTATCAATATTTAATGAATACTTGGAGAGTGCGCTAAAGAAGGGGACTGGGCAAATGTGGCCTTGATTCACGTAGATTTTAAATATTCAAATAGCGGGCATTAATGTGTTTTTCATCGGGTTATATTGGTGTTTTCATCACCAAGCCTCGTTTCTTTCTTGGAATCCGACCCTACGAGTAAATTCTGCTTACATGCAGGAAAGAGGAAGGTTCTATCAGCGTGTGATCTTGTTTTATGTGTAGTCAGTTCGATTTCTCTCTCTCTAATCCATCATTCTACGACTCCTAATTTGTTACTTAATTTAGTTATTAGTGGACTTCTATAAGTAAGCGGTTTCATCCTGTAAAGTTTTATGAAGCAATTTGTCAGTGGTTTCCAACCACAAACAAACGCGCGAAATTCATCGCCAGTTTTTATTTTCGTTTGGCTGTTTTTGTGCAAACTGGAGTTAAGGCTCTATGGTATCATCCTTCCTTGTCCATTTTGTGAGGCGTTTAGGCGGCGTTCTTACTTCGCGACAGCAGTGGCGATCGCCGCGATCGTCGCTACGCGTCCCAACGCTATTACTGGACCGCTCCGAGTGCTAATAGGAGAGGAATTGGCTTAAATTCCTGCTTTTTTTCCTTTTAATTGCAATCGACTCAGGTACTAGAGTTCTTTTGTCTCAAGGAAAGGAATGGAACTTCATGGCTTTTCGTTTCTATTTCCTTTTTTGATTCAGGATAGAAATGAGCAAAAAGCAAGAGAGCTTCATTTAGGGTAGGTTTCTTAGTGTTTCTTTTTTCATCCTTCGAGCTTATACATGAACTTATGAAGTTTCCTACTCCTCGATGTTGCATAAAAGAATTAGTATTTTGATTCCTAGGTGAGCTCCTTTCTGTTTCTTTTCTTTTTCGTCGTTTGAACTCGACCTGTAAACTAGAAATGTTTCGGAAATGGAACAGTTTGGCCAGCAGGAATTTGAAGACACATCGATTGAAACAATGAAAACGTTGGGGCGCGTTCTGACGCGTACCGACAATCGCGGCGATTGCCACTTCTGTCGTGAAGTATGAACACTGCCTTAAAGTCCTGCAAATATCTCGACGTAGATGAATCACCCACCATCATTCATCCCAAGAATACTCACCCTCGAGCTCAGGCAGAATTTAAAATTTGAATGACTTACCATCGTTTCTTTGCACTCTAAGCATGGGAAACTGAAGAGGTGCGGTGGAGATGGGTCGGAGAAATTTTGTGATTCTGCAGGACTATAGAGAACCAAAATGATTTAGCAGGGCAAAAAATAGACCGGTATACCACGCTGGTTCGAACCAGGCACCACATTTTTGTCCGCTTTGCTTTCCCTCTCACAATTCCCTTAGCGGCATTTGAGGTGCAAATGCATCCTTGATCCGGTTTTGGGGTTGACCTTTTACCCCAACTCACGATTGTACCACTAGTGGAAGGGTCATGCTGGCTGTACTCCTACGCCCACATGCAACGCCTCGTATCGTTCGCAGGTGTAGTGACTGTATCATCCGTAGGGCTCATTTCAACTAGTGCTTCGAGCAACTATTTTCTCCTTGTATGTAGATTTTACAGTACTAGAGGAGAAAGTTGTATTAGGACAAGGATCATGTTCTTGAAGACAGTTGGCACGATAAATTTCTATACTTTGCCCAAAATGCTAGCAGGATGCCATGAAGTGGGAAAATGGCGAAGGAACGGAGTAAAACGGTCAAATTTCTGTGAAGAGAAAACCTCCGTTCTCAATGGCCTAAAAACCAATGTCGGACGAGTTCCCGTAGGCATCTTGCCAATAACCTTTCAGTAGATACGGCTGCATGTGTGTACTCGTATATCCATGCAACACCGCGGCCGCTTCATACCCATCCTTCCGCTTCATAATTTGCTTAGAAAATGAATCAGTACGAGTGTCAGGAACGGTCGTCCATTTGTGGGCGGACGAGCGTGGTGGGCGTTCGGGTCGGTATGTTTTAGCTTGATAGGGCCCTTGTAAGGGTACCATCCTTGGAGGGGGCGCTGCGCAGTGCCTTCTCAGCGGCGCCGAATTCCGTCCTGCCAGGCGTATTGATCCTACTCGTCTTTAGGGATTTTTCGTGCCAACTGCCTTTGAGGACTTTCCTTATTTTGTGCACGAAAAGCTTGCTTTTGTAGAACAGCTAGGTCAGGAAACACCAGAGGATTCCTTGCTGGTTTACGCGTTCGATGAGAACCAATTAACAGGTTCAGATAATAGAGAGAGACTTGTTCCAGTTTTTTCCCAGTGCTCTTAGGTAGCGTTGAGACTCGTGCGACCAGAGCGCTTCGTCGCGAAGTTTGAACGTTGCCTGAACGAAATGGTCCAACTGAAGGAATTCTCACACTTAATGCTGCCATCCAATACTCCGCTAGTATGTTAAGTCGATAGCATCGCAATCAGTGGGGGCGCTGTGAAGAGGTACGGAATAAGCCCGTCTGCAGTGTTTTCTACAACAACTTGTTTTCTTCCTGTACCAATCGCTAACCGATCACCATAAGCAGGAAAAGCAGTCCGGGGCGGGCTCACTCTACCTCCTGGTACCGCCCCGACTGATTGCGAAGATACCACCTATACTAACATCCTCGTCTTCTTTCCGCTCAGAGTTCGCGATCAGATCGCTCAAGCAATTGGATCGTGCGACCCAATCGCTCGAGCGCGTATGCTGAGGATCCATGAAGTGGGAAAATGGCGCGAAGGAACGAGTACAACGTGTTCAAATTTCTGTGAAGAGAAAACCTCCCGTTCTCAATGGCCTAAAAAACCTAATGTCGGACGAGTTCCGTAGGCATTCTTGCAATAACCTTATCAGTAGATACGGGCTGCATGTGTTTGTACTCTATATCCAATTAAGCAACACCGCGGCCCGCTTCAAACCCATCCTTACCGCTCATAATTTGCTTAGAAAATGAAACAGTACAGTGTCAGAACGCTCGTCCATTTGTGGGCGGACGACGGTCGTGTGGGCGTTCGGTGTCGGTATGTTTTAGCTGGGATTAGGCCTTGTAAGGGTACCACCTTGAGGGCGGCGCTGCCGCATTTGCCTTTCTCAGCGGCCCGAATTCGTCCTGCCACGTGCGTATTGCACCTACTCGTCTTTAGGGATTTTTCGTCAAACTGCCTTTAGGACGTTCTTATTTTCTGCACGAAAAGCTTGCTTTTGTAAACAGCTAGTGTCAGGAAACACCAGAGGATTCCTTGTGCCTGGTTATTACAGTTCGATTGAGAACCAATTAACAGCGTTCAGATAATAGAGAGAGACTTGTTCAAGTTTTTCCAGTGCTCGTTAGGTTAGGCGTTGAGACAGGCGTTCGGCGCGCGTTAGACGCGGAATAGATGCAGCCGGAAGCAGATGCGCATTGATCGTTTTTCGGCGGGGACATGTGCCGACCAGAGCCGTATTGTCGCAGAGTTTGAACGTTCCTGAACGAAATTCGGTCTCAATGAAGGAATTTTCACACTTAATGCTGCCAATCCAATACTCGCTAGTATGTTAAGTCAGATAGCATCGCAATCAGTATGGGGGCGGGTGAAGAGGTACGGAATAAGCCCTCTGCGGTGTTTTCTACAACAACTTGTTTTCTTCCTGTACCAATCGCTAACCGATCACCATAAGCAGGAAAAGCAGTCCGGGGCGGGCTCACTCTATCTCCTGGTACCGCCCCGACTGATTGCGAAGATACCACCTATACTAACATCCTCGTCTTCTTTCCGCTCAGAGTTCGCGATCAGATCGCTCAAGCAATTGGATCGTGCGACCCAATCGCTCGAGCGGTCCGATCGCGAAGTCTGAATGCGGTCTTCCTGAGTCCTCGAAAATATCTTAGGCTGTCTTCTTGAGACTTTTTTTCTTTGTTCACTTTTTTTATCATATTTCATCTAATACATGCTATAGTACGGAATCTACCCCTTTGTTTGCACCGTTAACGCCTGCATCGAGAGAGGGTAATCTATGAACTAAACGAGCTAATAGAAAGCTTGGTTTGCCACTCGTTCTCCTGCCGTATGGTGTGATATAATTCAGACCTTATGCTATTCCTTCGTACAGTTTTGTTCGGTGTGCATGATGGGCCTTGCGGCCGGGTTTGGCGTGTCGCCAGGCCATTCTCCACCAAGTGTGGAAGCGGGCAAGCGACAGAATTGGTGGAGAACAGTCTGGCGCCGCCCCAAACCCAACTCCCCTTGATACTCCCAATCATCCGCAGCGTACAAGACTGTAGTTGATACCTTTACATCCTCACCCTCCGAAATCGTTCTCTGTATTCTTCGCAAAAGTGATTCCGAGATTCGATCTGCCATGTCGCTCTTTTACAGGATGGCCGTCAATGAAGAGCAGGCCATTGAAATGGAAGTGCTTCAATCGATCTATGGAGCCGACAGCAATTTCAAGGCGCTGGGCGACAATCGTGTGCAGTACAAGTTTGGCGTTGATAGCCCCAAAAGTTTTGTGATAGAAATTGAATGGCCACCAGAATATCCCGCAGTATCGCCTCGAATCAACATGGATGTCTTCTACAATAGTAACATCGCAGACAATGTCCGTCAGGAGATTAAAAATAAGGTACTTGAAGTGGCCAAAGAGAATGATGGTATGGCCGTAACGTTCACTCTTATCGACTATGTTTCGTCAAATTTCGATGAACTCACGTCTAAATGGGAGGTAAAGCAAACCCACACCGAAGCTGATGTTAAAAATGAAGAACGACGGACAGCCAAGGATGAGCCGCTCACGAAAGCTGCCAAGAGACGTTTGTGGGATCGGAACGAGGGCAAGGAAAGAGGCGCTGATTGGGTCGATATATTAAAACATTTGGCACAAGTCTAAGAATAGGTGCCTTTAATCAGTAAGTTGTTAGAATTCCTTGTTTTAGAAATAATTGGTCTCAAACACTTCTTTCCTCATTATACTACAAATGTATTTAAATTTGTAGCATTTCTAGTTTGGAGATATTGGTAGGTACTGTGGGGGTCCTTGTGATCATTGAATTGATGCTGTTTGGGTTGTATTTCGATTTTGTTCCGATTTTTGGTGTCATCTGGTGTTCTGATGTATTATATTATGTGCTCACATTCGAAGTGATTTTTCGTACGGTTACAGTTTCTTTCTGTGTTAAAGCTGAATTAGTCGGGTGAGGAGGATCATGTGACAAGACAATCGTAATTCCGCATTGATTGGTCGCGTGCGACGTCGCGCCCGCAAATGACGATGTCTCTAAGCTGTAGATGGCCAGTAGACAATATGCAACCAAAGGAAGCAGTAAGTGTCCACACGATATAGTCTTCATGAAATCCGATAGGTCAGTGTGAATTAAGAGAACGCCGTAGGCGACGGAGTGGCAAATTACGATTGTCTTTATCGTCTCCCGGTGAAGAGTAGGATTGTTTGTGCGATCATAGTGGATGTTGTCAAATTTAGTTAAGGGTCCGCGTTCATACTTTTCAACTCGAGCAATTCCCAGATTTAGCATCTGCGGCTGAACGCGCTCCACTGCAAATCATTGGAACAATGTGGCCTGAAATCTTACCACATCTAGGAAAGAATTTCTTTTACCATTCCAGCCGACCAGCGGTGAAAGGCCTCCGGCCACTGTCAAACGATTTGGAAATCGCACGCGTCGCGAAATATGAACGTCGCAGTCGCTTTCGCTGCATACGCTGGGGCGTGTCAGGGGGCTGGGTTTGGCTGCTGCCAGCCCGATAAATTGTTGAAGCGAGCAAGTGACAACAACCAGTAGAGAGCGGGTTGACGTCTGCCATATCCAACCCACCTGGAACGCCCCAGCGTCCGTAGAGAAAGCGAGTATAGGTCCGGTGACTTCCCACGATTATGTCTCCTGTGCGATATCCCCATAGAGTATGCTATTGATTCACGACAGCAAGAAGTACTTCTGGTGAATGTGCCTTAGATGTTGTTATTCAATGAAGTTGATCGTCAGTAATTATCAATGTTATGTCTTTAACTTCAGGTTCACCTGCAGGGTAAAATCTGCTGGGTAAAACCTGTTCATGCATTGTAGAGGATCTTCTACATAGTTATTTACTGATATGCTGTTCATCTGTTAACTTCGAAGATGTGCTGTACCTTGAACCAAGTAATAAGTTCCACAAGTGAAAAGTTGGGTATTGATTGAGTGTCGTGTATTTATTTGTTATTTTTTTTGCTCAATGAATATTGCTTGTTTCTTGATGTGATGTAAGTTATAAGAGTGTATGAACACACGAGGAGCTATTTTCAAAAAGAAAAACTTCGTTTGAGTACTGTGATTGATTAGGACTGCTCTGCTTCGTTCTAGTAAATCTGTAAGGAGGCGGCCTTTCTGTTGCCGTTTCCTCAGATGGCGGAGCTTTTCTGGGGAGTCTTTTCTTTTTTCTGATTGAAGGATCAAGACCCTTTACGTTAATTCTGGCTTGGGTCTATCATGTTTTGCCATCATGTCACGGGACTGACGCGCTTTCTAAGAAGTAAAACTCGTCCGGATCACTACACTATTGAATGAATGGTCTCAATCGATCATTAGGAGACGTAATGATTGAGAAGCACGGAAGTATAAGGAAGCTCTAGTGACTATATATTCCACGTAAATAACGAGAATTCAGAAGCTAGTGGTCCGGACGAGTTATCAGACCTGGAAGATACGTCATCTGGTCTGTCGGACTGCTTTCGCTTATTTTTTTGCTGGGCAGCTGCGTTGGGAAGACTTTCAGTATGAAGGGCGGCACCTGATACCAAGTGGTTGTTTAAAGACACATGGTACGCTCAAACACATTGAGGGTGTATGAGGCTATCAGCCTCCAGCTGCCGATGTGTCGTGGTCCCTCCGCCCAAAACTGCACGGGGTCAGAGTACGGGGCCGCCCCCCTGGGAAATAATCCTTGCTACACCGCCTCACGTTTATGGCTACACCCATTCGCGAGGCGCGTCGCCGTGCAGCCTCTTTGCTTTTTGCCAAGTCCTGATAATGCGCTTTGAATACAAGTACAAGCGCAGTTTTCTCTAGGCGGATAAACATGTTTTAGCGGTGCCTGCAAAATAGAACCGAAGATGATGACAAGGTGTAGACTGAAAGAGCAGCTGTGGTGCTTCTTGCAATAATCCCTCAGATAGGACCGCGCATGTCCAACAGGAAGTGCAATGACAAAAACGACAACATGACAATAAAGAACATTACAATACAACGCAGAACGCAATTTCCTAACATTTAAGGTATTGCTGCCATGCTTCAAAGTCCGGAATAGAGGTGATGAAGATGGACAAAGGCTAGAAATGATACACAACCAATGTAGATGTAAATAAAACAAATTTGCAAAAAAAACAATAAGGAAAATGCAATAAATTAGAATCGGCGATGTATTTCTGCCGATCTGGCCGAATCCGTGTGCTGGATGCTATAGAAATTACTTTCAAACTATACGAGTGGGACGCTTGTAGGCGTTTTTTTTTGATGTTTTTGTGGAACGCGCGGCCTGCAAGGGCTGTTGCCAAAAGTTAGCACAGTTGCTCTTGAGTTCTAGCCCTCGTCATCCCATCTTCCGTTCTTGATTTTGCCAGAACCTAAAAATGTTTAGTCCGCCATAAAGAAATTTGTACTTGTATTGCTAACAACGCTAATTACAGGCACTCCGGCAAGAAGCGCAAGAGAGCTGCACGTGACCGACCGCTGCCGGGCGAACGGTTGTTAGTAAAAACGTTGAGTTTGCAAAAACGGGCGGCCGTATGCAAGGAATGTACCGTCTTCTTTTCCTCACGGTCCGTACTTTTGAACTCGTGCAGTTTTGGCGCGGCGGGGGGCAGGGACACGCACATCGGACAGCTGGCGGCGAAATGATAGTCCCATTACCCCTCAATGCTGTTTGCAGTGTACCATTTTTGTCTTTAACATGGCCAATGGTCCTCACCCTGCGCACGGCGGAATCCTCGTCGGTCCGCCAGGGAATTCAATTCTTTCTCCTGCCACTTTCATCCTCCAGGTATGGTAAATCGATACCGGGATCGTCTCGGAGCATAAAAACGTTGACTTGTTCATCGACTAGTAACCGCAAGCCATTGTATCACACTCAGTAAGCCATCACCATTCTGCTGAGGGAATGTGTTAAGTTGCTGAGGTCTGAACGTGATTACACGTGCGCGACATTCGCACCAGAACGCAATTAAATCGATGTGGCGATGTTGCAACATTTTAAGTCAACTATTGGGAACTACTTAATTAATTCGCATAACTAGGATACTATGCCATACCCGCAACTATATAGTCATAATTATGGGGCTTTCAGGTGAGTTTTGTTCAGTCCTTTGATATGACCACTCGTTAGTATATTTGGGAGAATTATGTTTGGCAATAGAATTAGCTCAGGTGAACGGTCTAGCATTGCAGATGCTCGGTGGAAAAATACTGAGAATGGGTTTGAAATCCAGGATACGGCAGGCCTGCATACATATGAGTGCTAGAGAAGCAAGTACAGCGCCGGAATGCGTTGATTCAGAACACCAGGTATGGCTTTTTTAATGTTCTCCAATTTTTTTCGCAGTTTTTCGACTTAAAGACATTTTTTCAAATCCTTACAAAATACGTTCCTGAACCGAGTGAGGTTTCGATATGATTCTTTCCAAAACAGAAGATAAGCGCTGGAGAAGGCCCTAGTCGATCTTCCCGACCGGTTGATGAAGCGAAAGAGGAAGTACTGCGCGAAACTAAGAAGCGCATCAGAAGATGGAAAGCAAGAAATGCTTATTTATCGGCAGTGAGTTCCGATTCATTGAAACTCACTGGGATTAAAATCCTCATATTCCTATTGCCTTATTTTGAGCCTGCTGAAGAAGCGAATGACGACCCTTCTAAAGGCGATCTTCCGCGAATAAGTGAAGTGGACTTTGCCCGAAAAGCCGAAGAAGAGGAACGAGAATGGGCTGAACGTGCTGATGACATGTTGGTAAATCTCAGCTTTGTATCAACGGAGGAGAACAGGGCCATTAAACTTCCTTCGGTAAGAAAATTTGGATATATGAGTGCTTATAGATTTGTTTTTTTCCATTCCAGCAGTTTTGTTTTGTTAGTACTGTTATAACTTCATGGGAGAAAGAAGGGCAGTGAAAACTCCATAAAGAGTGTTCATTATAAGGTTAAGCCTCCTTCTCTATGGTGAGCTGTACGAGCTTGACCTGACCTTCTCTCTATTTGGGACGATATCTTTGTACAAGGAATGTTTGGGTGGGATTTCCAGGCCTTTCCGTGAACACCACCTGGGTGGAATGCGGCCCTAGTGGAGCAGTGGCTGATTCACGTACCCGTCTAGCGTGCGGTATAGGTTGTAGTCCTGTCTGAGACAATTTGTATGCCCTCAAGAACGCATAAACACGGTTAGAAGCATCTATCAATCGGATGCTCTTTAGCTGTGAATATCCAGAAGTGTTTTCTCATCGCATTTTCTGGTCGAACATCTAGAGGAAGGATAAGGAAGAGGGAAGTGAGCAGAGAGGAAGAAATTAGGGAAAGAGGAAGGGAAAAGAAATGAGGAAGATGGCTCCGCGGTTGACCGATATCCTGAGACCCAGCAACAAACGATTAATTTGAATAAGTGACGAAGTTGCGGATAGAGAGAAGTATACGTATCGATCTGACGCGAAATTATGACATCAGGGGACTTTGCGCAAATACTGAAATGACGAACAAGACTTGATAGGGATTAGTCGCCACTAACAAGGGAAAGGTTTGAACTTCCCATGGAACTTTGAATGGAGACCCAGCTACATCGATAGAGCCTCGAATGCTGATTACGAATATGCAGATAAAAAGTGCCACGGGGACCTCCCAGACCAGATCTTGGAGGTCAAAGTTTGGTCCGTTTTGGCTCGTAAGAGCTGCTGATCGATGTCTCGCCAGTGTCACCGTGGCCTTGTGGTAACGGTCTCGCTTTCAAGTCAAACGCATACGGGTTTGCATCCGGGAGGCGCGAAAAAATTTATTTCGCTCCCTATAAGAGCTTTAACTCTAATTTTCGGAATTCTTTCGAGTTTATGGCCCAGTAGGGCAAGTAGATCAGGTACATCAAGTATATGACGTACTCGATCTAGTACGGATTTGGTCATATCTGCTCTCTCTACAATTACCCATCCGACAATTGAAAGTTTTGCCCAGAATCACAGTTTGGCCGGACGAGCGTTTTTTCGTCGAAGGATGTGATATTCGTGTTCAGGGGGTCGAAGTCTCCCATGAACGAGTTTCTCGCCAAAACTTTGACCTGTCGGATGGGTAATATGTTCAGAGAGGGCAGATATGACCAAATCCATGCTAGATCGAGTACGTCGTATACTTGATGTACTTGATCTACTTGCCCTGCTGGGCCATAAACTCGGAAGGATTTCGAAGATTAGAGTTAAAGCTCTTATAGGGAGGGAAGCAAAATTTTTCGCGCCACTCGGATGCAAACCCGTAGTTTGAATTGAAAGCGAGACCGTTACCACAAGGCCACGGTGGCACTGGGGAGACGTCGATCAGCAACGTTTACGAGCCAAAACTGACTTTTCGCAAACTTTGACCTCCCAGATCTCGTCTGGGAGGTCCGCGTAGCACTTTTTAACTGCATTTTCGTAATCAGCATTCGAGGCTCTATCGATATACCTAGGTCTCCATTCGAAGTTCCATGGGAAGTTCAAACCATTCCCTTGTAAGGAACTTTGAGAATTGTCGATTCTGCGGAACTTCGGCATTTCTGCAGATTTGCGATCTCTTGGGATCGATATTTCATTTCATTTCACTTTCATTTGTGCATAGTATCACCATTCCTTCAAGGCGGTCATGTGTGGATGCGGCCTAACTCGACTACGTTGTGATAAGTTGTAGTGCGAACTGCGTTCAGCAACAGCCTATCAGAACATTAGAAACAAAGAAAAACAAACATTGGGAAATGCGTACACTCCACAGCACAGATGATCCGTTTCGCCCGTGTCGTAGACGGAATCATCGAACTCTTACCAACCCCCCAGGCACGTCAGTACGACAGGGTGAAGACATGGACATAGACTTACACAGGGGAAGGAGCTAAGAAATAGGACAGAAAGAGAAAAACATGTAGAAAAACGTCACGTGTAAAATTCATGCAATAAAATGAGAAGAATTGCTACAGTAAAAATGAGAGAATGTTATAACAGTTTTGAGTACTAAATACGTGTAAGAGGAAGAAAGTTGGAAATGGAGTAGATAGGCTAAACCAACTAAGGCAATGTGAGTAAAAAGAAAAAGCAAAACTAAACTAAGGGAATGTTGCAGTAAAAAGACACTGTCGAGCTGACCACAAGGTAAATCAAATTTGTAGCGATAAAATGAGAGTTAGTGTTGACATCGTTGCTAATGAGAATACTTTTAACCAGCCTACTTATCTTTTATAGTTATTTGCAATAGAGTATTATAACTTATAAATTTATTTTTGTAAATACATTTCACAATGCCTAGTAATGATAAAATCTTCTTCGTAGCCATTTTTCGACAGGCGGTGACCATATCTGTTATTTTGCTACGAAACATCGAAAGAACGTACAAGTGTTTGCTAACCCAACGTTTCCGTATATACATATAACAGGGCTTTGTGATAAGGGAAATGTTTGTGTCACTATATGCGAAATCTGATTACATTGAAGTTAAAATCGTTTCGTTTTTACTATACACTGTAGCTAATAACTTTACCATTAGAAATATTGATTGTCAAATCTAAATAATTGCTGGAATATTCACTATTATGAGTTTTTTTCAATTCAAGGGTATTTCGATAAACTTGATAAAGTTGTTCATCCACGTCACTGTCAGTTTGGTTATGTACAACAAGCAAACAAGCAAAACAGTACCATTCTTTTTATTGACCAGGTCGGCAAATGACTGCGCGAGGGACTCGCACCCATTTTTTTGAAAGCCAAATTTAGATAAGTGAATTGTCATATTTCAGTCCATTGTTGGCCTGTCACATTAAAGGCGGCGCTACCCCTGTAGCCGTCGCTATTCAAGGCGATCTATCCATTTACAGACAAAGCGGTTGGAGTTAACCCCTGAAGAATTGGAGTTGAAAAGGAAAACTGGCAAGGCTCTATTTCGCCCAATAATCTACAATGAAGGCGAATTAGATGGATCCGACCTCAATATGCCTCCTTCTGCGTGAGTTTCCTCTTTCGAGCTTCCTCTATTTTTCTTTCTTATCTTTATGGATCTTTATGGTCCCTATAGTGTTGTTCAGATAATTCGATTTCAGGGCTAACCCACATCCATTCGATCCCTCGAAGCACGCCCCTCCGGTATATAGCCGTACTGTTGTTCCTTTCGTCAACCATTCACCGCTTTTACAGGCGCTTGTGGACATCGGTGTGAATCTATTCGAGGTACTTACCTTGTACTAGTTACTCTGATTCTTCTCTAGTTATCGCAGAAGATCCGTCTCGATAAGTTTTGATTGAAGGTAGAACAAACGACCCGTGCAGCTAAACATCTACTCCGGCTTGACATGCAGAAAGAAGTGAAGCCGAAGGTGGCAGTATTCTATAAGGCTTTTTCCTCTCTCTAGAAAGCCATATTTCCAGCGTGTATGTTTCAGCTTCAATGGCTTGTCTCACTTGGTTTTGAAGCTAGTGATTTGGGCGAATATTTGACGCGGAATCCCTTCTTCTTACTACAAGACCTTAGCGATATGCAGGTAGGTTCCTTTCAGAACACTTCGTCTCTTAGTGTGCGTTTTTAGTTTGCATCAGCGTTTTGGGCCTATGGCAGTTTGCGGCAGCCTTTTTGACTAGTAGCTAGCATTTTTAGCAACTAGCCGCGAAATGCTCAAAACACTGACTTACGCTCGAAACGCTATATTGGTACCTACACTTTCCTTGTCGCTCAAAACGCTGACTCAGACCTTGAACGATTCTTGGTCTTCGAGCCAAGGCAAGGAAGCGCGAGCAGGAGGTTGTCATCACGACGCACTCAGCTTTTTTTTAACTTCCATGGCTCATGAAGCCGTTGCATTTCAGACTTTTATCCCGGGTGTTGCTGTGGATAATGTTTAGTTAAAGAGTTACCGCGATCAAGTGGTCCACCAAATGCCTTCATGCCTGGTTCGTTCGTTGTCAGCATTCGCAGAAATGTACCACTTTCATCACTCGAAACGGCGAGATAAAGAAGCTAGAGACGCGTGGTTATTGCAACCATTGACCACGATTACTTTCACCCTGCAAGACAACGGCGTACAAGCTGAATTGCGTGTGTGCATATCGTTGCCTGGAGCGTCGTAGAGCGATTTCCTCTACTCTTGATGGGGATTTATACGTCTCCTGCTGATGGGCTTGTTCTACGTCCCCCAAAGTCGTCCAGGTGCCCTCCCCCACTGCTAAGGGGTACTATTCAGTTTTCCAAAGTTCCTAAAATTTTTTTGGCTTCTCTCTCTCTACTGGCGAGTTATTTGGGGACTACTGCTACATGACTGGTCACCTACTACCCAAACACTTGATCGCAGTAATTATCCTTAACCTTCATTTATGGATAGTGAACACACAGTTTTTTTTGCAGGCTCGAGTCAATTATTTAACGTCGATGAAATTCTCCAATGAAGATGTCTGCAAAATCGTTAAGGACTTTAGGTGGGATATAAACTGCTGTATACCGTTACAAAAAAATGAATGATTTCTATCAGGTATTGGTTAAATGTTGATGTAAAGACAATGGATTCTCGCTTGGGATGGATTCAACAACAGTTTGGTTTGAGCGGTGATGAAGTTCGGAACCTCATTCGCAAGGAAGCGCGTATTCTTATGTTCGGATTAGGACCGCTGCAGGTAAGAAGTAGTGCTTGTTTTTTTTCTATTTTTTTGTTCTGTTCTTTTTTTTGACTTGTAGACTTTTTGAGTTTTTGTTGTTTTCCTAACCCACTTGATATATCCACATTGAATAACTAATCCATTTCTGTCTTTGAAATCATTTAACTAAGGCAGCGTTCAGACCTCGCGACGGCAGCGTTTCGGTCGCGCGTTCGACGCGATCGATGCAGTCGAAAGCATGCGCATCGATCGCGTCGAACGCGTGACCGAAGCGATGTCGTCGCGAAGTCTGAACGCTGCCTGAACGAAACGGTCCAACTGAAGAAATTCTCACACTTAATGCTGCCTTCTAATACTTCGCTAGTATGTTTAGTCGACAGCTTCGCAATCAGTCGGGGCGGTATGACGGACTACGGAATGAGCCCCCACGCGATGTTTTCTACCACAGCTTGTTTTCTTCCTGTGCCAATCGTACCAATCGCTAACCGATCACCATTAGCAGAAAAACCAGTCCGGGGGGGGGGGCTCACTCCAACCCTTTTGACACCGCCCCGACTGATTGCGAAGATACCATCTGTACTCACATCCTCGCCTTTCTTTCCTGCTTACTTTTGCGCATGCACACGCTCTTACAAAATAACTCTGACCGTCTAACTGAAAAATCGCAATTGCTTAAAAATTCCTTTTTATCAGTGTATTCAGAATAGCTGTGGGGGGCCGTGGTGTAGAAGTAAGTAGCCTGCTTACTTCACGCGTAATCCCTGCGCCAGACCAGACTCAACAGCTTCCGTCCAGGCCACCTAAGTCTACTAGGATGGTAAATCGGTATTTGGGATCTGATTCGTCAAGGAGGATAAAAACATTGACTTGTTTCTGTGGCAATTATCCACGGAAGTTGAATACGTGCCGCATTCCACGAAGGGATTGATCAGTATCAGAGCTCTGTCTTTTCTACTGGGAGCCCCTAGCGCGAATGCAGCTTGGTTAATATAAAGCAAATTGTGGGATAAAGCTGGCACTGAGTAGTCAAGCGTCGTGGCCCTATAGTGGTGTCAATCAAGAGGAATTAGAACTAGACATTTTTATTTCGATTACTTATTTCGATCCCGATTAATTTTCCACCAACAAAATAGCCTTCATTGCAATTATCCCAGGGGTCAACCTGCTATGAGTTCTGTTTGCCAAAAACATATTGCAGTTATACTAATTAATAACATTTTCAGCGACTTGTGATACTGTTCAACAAGGAGTTGGAATTTTCCCCGAAGGAAATGAAGAGGATATTGCTAGATGATCCACGAGTGTTCATGATGGGTTAGTTGCCAATTGTCTTTTTCCTGACAGTCACTTGATGTATTCTGTGTGAAAGCGAGCAGCTCGGACGATGCAGGTGAACAAAGGAAACTTGGCGAAGGCTCTAGATTCTCTCATGTTTCTCTTTGCCTATGCGGAAACGAAACAAAGCAGGATTCTTGCAGTAGTCTTAGCGTTGTTCACAGTCTGCGACCCTGACAAACACCGATTCGGCGAAAAACATTAATTACGTATTGATCGGAGAATCGCCTACCGCTCCGAAGAAACGCCGCCGCGGTTCGGCGGAAAGCGTAGATGCGTATATTTTGTTGGCTCCACCCTAGAGAAAAACACCAGGGCGGTCGGGCTAGCGTTTTCGCCCACGCTCCGCCGAACCGCCCGTCGATACGTATCAAAACTGTTTCGCGCAACCTCCAGACTTCACCCAACCGCCAATCGATACGTATCGAATGCTTTTCGACAAAGCATTTCTTTCTAGAGAAACCCTGGGTCGCAGACTGTGAACAATACCTAGCAAGAGTGAAGAGTTTCACAGCGAGAGGGAGGGCGAGGAACTTAGATTATCAACCGGACAAGGCTAGGGTCAAGGTTTCCGCCATTTTTTCCTTGTTGGATTGATTGTCTGGCGTGACGTACACGCTGCTTGTTTCTGTGAGCAGTGATCTTTTTGAAGCATTCCTCTATTATTCCAATACTGCGACTCTCCGATTCTCCATTGCCACGAGGACGCAGTCTAACCGGTACTCCTGAATGGACTGCACAAGTTTTTGAGTGACGAACGTTAGATGTGATAGATATGCTTGACTTATCCAACTAATGAAGTCATCGCCCCTTTTTGTCATAATGAGGCGTTTCGATGCCAGACGTTGCGTGTTGTGTCGCTTCCGCTTACGCGTCGTGAGTTACAGAAGCAGCGGTCAAGAATGTCACAGCATAAGTACGGCTGTGATTTCTACGGTATCAGTATCGATTTATGTATTTTCAAAAGTTTTCCGTTTTTAGATCCAAAATTTATAATGACAAACTACGGGTATCTTCACCGAGTAATGCGTCTTTCCAACTCGATAATCGCCAAACATCCATTTATTCTTCGCTGTTCGCATTGTAGCATTCGAAATAGGTGTGTTACTACTCTTTTACTTTACTTTTGTTCTTTTCCTTCAATGATAGGTCCCACACTAGCACTTTTCTGCTTAGGCACGAGTTTTTGAAGAAACTGGGAAAAGCTTCATATGAAGGTGAGATTGTGGATGACAAGGCAGAAGCTCCATCCAAGGATAAGGAGGGTTGCGAGGTGAGCACTAAAATAGTGCTATTTACAATAAGCAGAAGTATACCCATGATTATTTTTATTGCTAGCCAGTACCGATCGATGTCTTTCTGGATCCTAGCGATGAAGTATTTGCACGGAAGGCAGCGAACACTTACCTAGTCGTTTATAACAATTTCCTTCGGAATCACTAAAATGCGTCCTGGCACTCAGGTTTCAGTTTTTTTTTAAATCGATAGTGTCGAACATTGTTTGACAAAAAAAATTATCGATTAGAAAATACGTGTATGTTGTTGTCTTACAGGATACCTGTGATTAACTCACTGCTCTGAGATTTTCTTTATTCTTGTCTGTCTTTTGAGGTTGGCATCATTCGAAAGGCACATTTTACAATGGCAGGATGTAGTTAGTGAGGTTCCAATATTAAATGCTTAGTGATTTTCCACGAAAAAAAAATCAAAAGTAACAGCTGAAAACGCCCTGAATAATACTTCCCTTTTGCAGTTGATTTTGAGTATTATATGGGCATACGATGAGGGAACACTGAGCATTTCGAAGAGAGTCTAGATGGCTGAGGCAGGAAGAGCGCACAGAGTGATGCCGCTATTCACCGTGCGGTGCAGAGGGCGCATTTCGCACATATGCGGACAGGCCCAATTCACAAGCACCTGCCGCCTTTGCCATGCTCTTTAATCTAGCGAAACTGGTTAAACCTCCATAGTTATAGAACCGCCGACCTTATACAGAGAGGTGATTGTAATTTTGGTCAACCGTAGACTGTGCCTTTGAGGCTCATCAGTTTTGGTGTTGATTAATAGCCCCGTTAAGAGTGTGGCATTTAGTAAACCTAGGGCGCGGTTCAAAAGCCGTGCTGAAAGCAGAAAACATTGCGGAATAAAAAAAATAACGTTTAGAGCCGATCACTAAGAAACAAATGAATGCTGCGCTCCCACGTTGTAATTTTTTTTCTTTTGAATAATTCGCTGTTGTTGAAATGTACAGGCTTGTTGAACAGATTGTAGTTATTTGTTGAGTTTCTCAGACCCATAGTTGTTACGTGATCAGTTCGGCGTTGGAGATCATAAACGTTTATGAATATTGAATACAATAAATATTGTTAGTGTCCGACTTAGATTTGCATTAGTGTACCTTGGAAAATAAGTGATCCCTTTAGCTTCCCTACTACTGCTTCTATAGTGAGAGCTACCGTACGTGAATCCACGATAGAAGGAGATGGAAAGGGTAGCGGCATTTCCTGAAAACGCGCGATCCGTGGGTTAAATTCCCAGTCACGTACCGCTCGGGCCGACCAAGGCTGCGTTCGTGCTTTGCGGCAGCATCCACCAGCGTTTCGAGCGTCCGGTTGCCTCAGCGACTAGGAAAGCGTAGAAATCGATCTAGTGTCTGTCAGCGTCTTCCAGCGTGCGCCAGCGTCCACCAGCGTCTGGAGGACTAGGAAAGTATAGGTATCGATCTTGCGTCTGCCAGTGTTCGCCCACTAGCGTCCGGGAGAGTATGGTTACGTGACATCTTGAACTTTTGTGCATGGCCCTGTTACGAAACCCTGCGACGCAGACTGCCGAAGCACCAGTACGTGTAAATATCGTATGGCGAGCCAGGAAACGGGACCTTTCGAGGGAGGGGACTCCGGGGTGGATGAGCTACTTATTGTCGGTGAAAACCTGGAGCGAGCGAAGTCACAACAGCCATCGAAGGCCATGCGGACGAGAAAGTGCAGAGAAAAAGAGAAGATCGACGCGTTCAAAGGGATTGAATGCAAGTTGTTCGTAGACCAGGAGAGTAGGAGGCTATAGACTGCTGGTAGGGTATGGGGATATAGGAGGGTAGCAGACTGATGGTAGAGCGTATGGCGCGATAGTAGAGTACCAGCTACTCTTCAATCGCGCCACACTCCTCTGCCGATGGCACGTTGGGAGACGCTGGCAGGCGCTAGAACACTACCTTGGCCCTCGATTCGCTCACTGGTAGAAGCTGGAGGACGCTGGCAACGCTAGGTCGATGTCTATGCTTTTCTAGTCGCTGACGCTGCCGAACGCTCGGAACGCTGGTGGACGCTTACTGGTCGCTGGTGAACGCTACTGCAAAGTATGAAGCAGCCTAAGTCTTCCTTCCCTTTGGGGCTTTGAAGTGATTCAGAGTAAGCCGTGTGGAGGAAAGCTAGCACTTCCTGCATCAGCTGAGCACAGTAAGCGCCAGCCGTTTCCCATCTATCGCTGCTGCCTAGTTCATTCAATGAGTGGTGGAGAAGGAGTTGGCGCCGCCCCCTAGGCCACGCGCCGTTGACACACTCCGTCTGTATTCCGTGTTTACAACCTTAGTAACGAATATTTCGTTCCGTACACAGCACAGTACAAAGGAAACATTGTGACTGCTCAAATCATATCACACCGTATTTAGTTTCATTAAGTAGTACTAGAAGTAGAGAATAAGATGATATGTAAACGTTTCTCATTTAAGCATATTTTCCTTATAAAGATCTGTCAACAGTAGATCAACAAAGGATGCTAGTATATGTCGTTTTGATATGAAGAAATGACTGCTTTTCTCTGCATAAGTGCACAGTTGGGTGTTACTTCACCACTTGGAATGTGGGTCGGGAGATCCACGTCGCGGCGGCGCAGCGTTACAAATGACGTCACTCGCGCGTGACCTAGTATCTGCGCCGGTAACTTGATTCTCCTGGCCTACATTCTATCACAAAAATTATTCTTACATGATATTATAACACTGTGTGGCACAACCAAACACTCTCGGAATTGTATACAGTCTTGTTCGCTGCGGATGATGGGGCGTGTTAGGCGGGGATAAGTTTGGCGCGGCGCCAGTTTATTTTTTTGTTTTCTCAGCGATGAAAAAAAGTATCAAATCGTTCGTATAGTCGATTTCCACCAAATGTTGTCGTACCCCCGCTTCGACAACTCGTGGAGAACGGTCTGGCGGCGCGCCAAACACAGTCCCACTGACACGCCCCATCATCCGCAGCGATCAATACTGCAAATACAGGAGAAACGAAATGTATCAAAACCTAATCTATAAAAATCGTCCTACGAATCTTAACAAAAAGCAAAACAATTGAGTCTGAATCCTGGCATAATACTTGTAATGGCTAGGTAAGTAAATGATTGCCGTCTGAGCGGAAATACCAGCATGAAATGCAGTGAATGTATCAGCATATAAACAACACTAACCAACAACATATACCCATTGCATCTATTTCGAAGTAAATCTATGAAAGGCTAGGAATAAGTACACAAAATTAAACGTCGGGAGCAATTAATCCGTTTTCGAGAAGGTTCTTATTGACCAGATGTTCCTGTTCTGGTAGTTTCAAATCTCTTAGCTCGCCTTCACCAGATCGACATCGCGATCGATTACAAGTCACCTTAATTTTCAATAGATAAAATGAATCAAACATTATGTAGAAGATAAGGAATAAACCACTTGATGCTGATCGTCCCTTTTTGAGATGCGCCATGCATTCGACTTCAGCTCAGAATTCGAGACTTTACCCCCCCCCCCTGAGCGTGATAAGCGGCACCATTTGCTGTCGAAACACCACCGCAAGGGCAATACATTAGTAAAAACCAAACTGGTACCGTTTTGAGAATAGTAGGCACCTGCGCCGCTGGGAAAAAATCTGCCAGAGAATAATTATTTCGTGCACCGACTGTTGGATAGTTGTAGGAGATATAGCGCGTGAAACGGGAAATCAAACACTGGAATACATTTCCGGGTCCAGATACGACCCCACCTACTGACCAAATACAACCTCTTTGGAGGTTCCTCATCGTATAACGCGTTGCTTATTGTGCGCTCTCTCCGTCCCTGTCTCAATCGGCGGCTGCCCGGCGCCACCACCTCAAAAAAAGAGGTTTGCGGACACTCCCTCTCCAATACAGAGGTTTGCGGACATTCCCTCTCCAATACCGAGATAGGGTCGTATGAGCGGAGTGATTTGGAAGGGATGTCAGGTGGACCTCCGCTCTGAATAATTATAATGTATTGGCGCTGTTTGTCGACGGGGGGGCATTTTGTATTACCATTGCTTCCCTAGTTCCGGTTTACAAATCTCCCTCTGATAAAACTTGTGAACTCTTGTGAAGCTGAAGTAAGATCGTCTAGCCACTATCCTAAACGTGTCAACTAGAGAAACGGCTGCCTAGATGGGTCGACACATCTATGGAAAGCAAAATGCCCCCCCCCCGTCGACAAACTGCCCCTAAGTTGTTATATTATTGTAAACACTGTCCACGTCTTCCTCCTCCTTCGATCCTTGCCATACGTCCCCAGGTTTCCAAAGCTCCAGGGGAGCTTATATCACCCACCGACGACAGTCCCGCTCCTCCCAACGTTACCGAACATAGCGACCTTGGTGCTACCAAACACTCCACCCACTGTCCCGGTGGGAATCACTCCTTACTGGGCTAGTGGGATTACCCACACTGTGTCATACACCTTTGTCTATTAAGTAAAGCTTTGGATACCTTGATAAAGTAGGATAAGTAGAACATGAATCCCGTGAACACGAAAATGCACGAAATTGAAATAAGGACACCAAAACTGCTAGTTTCCGGAAAAACGATCACCTAAAATAATGAGACTAGAAGTCGAGCGCTGATGTTCCTAATTTTTTGCAGTGTACCTACCATAACATCTTTTATCACAGAGAAAAATTCACAGATACTTGTTTGTACACCGAAAACTGAATATCGTTCCCTTTCAGGAATGGTTTCCTGCATGATCTGGGTGATTGACGGATCCGCTATCCACAACCCTATAATAAAAGTTCTTTCAGTCCACATTATGATGGTTCGCAAAATTACAAATGCTGGAAATTAATGAAGGATGGAGCGCTGACCGAAACGTGCCAGTGTAATCCCGAAAAAGAACACGATAATTGATGGGCCTTAAACTCGAAAAACGGAAGAGGAGCGGATGGTTCGGTCAGCATTTAAGAGACCGCCAAAGATGGTCGATCGAACGCCATCCAGCCATTTCTAAAATAGAGAGCTATTACAATGAAAAATTTCGTGTCAAAATCAATTAAAAACGAACTGTAGTGGTCAATGATGAGAAATATCCTGTCGCATTGAATGGACTTCCAGGAAGCACAATAGAGACCGTGCACAAGTTAATGAACATGTTTTGAAGCTGAAAAATGACTTTATTGATTAGTAGTCTGAACAACCACAGCGGTTTTCGAGATCATGTGTCCATTGAGAGTAGAAAAGTAGGCGGGGTTTATCCAGGGAGGCCTCCCTCGTCATAGGTGGGATTTCTGCCCTATTCCAATAGGGCGCGTCGAGCATCAGGTAGATGTGCCAGCAGGCGCGCGCAAAGTACACAGTAAAACGAGCCGCCCATCTGTGAACCAAAAATTCACAGACCAAGAAAAGTGTATGACAAAAAAACGAGCCAATCACTACACCGGATACCTCCACCCCTCGCTCCACCTTCCAACATTATCACAACCCTCTCTACATTTGTAGCTTTTTTTCTGAGAAAGAAAGGCAGGAAATTGCCTTCCTTTCGAAAAAAGGAGTTTCTGTGACCGAGGAAATCGCAAGGAGTGGCAAGTGTCTAGGGGTCCTCTCGGAAACCACGGTATCGTGCTGTGCTACCATTCCACACGCGACCAGAAATCGCTTTAAATTCTGCTGGATCAATTTTTTAGCGCTCACCATAAGGCCTATAAGACCTGTCCACAGTAATCCAAGCACTCGTTCGAGAGCTGTATATGATAAGGCTCCAAGCAACCCGAGTAGAGATCCTATGGAACGGAATAGTCCTAGCGTTGATGCGGACATTCCTTGAGAAGCACCGTAAGAGAGTGCAAGCTGCAATGGAGGAAAATTTTTTTGATTTATAGGCTGCGCGCTCACCTGCAAGGTAGATCCTTGTCAAATACAAGCTGGACATGCCTTGAGCTGTAGAAAAGCAACTTTAACCACTCGAAAAAGCGCGGAATTGATGCTGGCATGATGTGGCCCGTTTCGAACTCCATCCGCTACCCGAAACGTGCAACACGCGTTCATACCAAGGTCTCACTGTAAACATCCTCGCAAGCTGCCGAGAGTATGCTGCGAAAGGTAAGGAACAATTGAAAGTGAGAAGGAACAGGCAAGTAACTTGTTGGCTACAGTAGGACGTATGCCTATTCGGGCGGTTTGTTGCTTGTCTGCCTGCTCTGACCGTGGGTGGAGTACGAAACGGAATATCACTACCCCAGCCTCATTTCAGCGCACTCTAGAGTGACGAAAGCTCCGCAATTCTACAGCTACGGACCCGTTCACCTCGCATGTGGCAAGGACCTCCCTCCCAGTGATGACCGTACAGCGTATTTTAAACTTTTTCTTCTATTCAAAGGTATTATTTCTTTTAATGTCGCTACTCAAGTAGAACCTACGTTATCAAATCCTAACACAGTCATATAGAGAAGTGCGAGGCCAAAAGCTGCACGAAATGAACTTTGTCTGAAGTATGCTGAATACGCCGCAGCAGGTGAGGGTGTTTCATCGATAGATGGCTCCTTGGAAGTTGAATCTAAATATGGAACATATGAATATGGAATGGTCCGAAACTTGATTTACGCAGTAACATATAAGCCAAATTCATGTCGGAATGGAGAGAATCTCGCGTCTGATAGACACTTTTCAATGCCAACAATGTGCACGCACTGACGCACAATTCTTGATCTTTACAGTCCCAAAAGGTAAATCGCCGAATCTCACAGCCGTTGATAGTACAACGCATACACAGCACTGCTGCAGTGGCGCGCCCAGCCAGGAAGGCTAACTAATCAGGGCACATCGTTGTTGGGGAATCCCCAATGGGGGGAGGGTCGTATTTGGGTCGCCAGGAGAGGGGGAGGCGTATTTGGGCCGGGAAAATACATTTTGATAGTTGATTTTTCTCGCTTCATGGACGTTGTAAAGGGGGGGTCGTACTTGGTCATAGTTGGGAGGGGAGTGGCTGTATTCAGGTTTTTGCGTTGTTGGTTAGTGGGGGGGGGGTCGGCGGGGGGGGAAGAGGGCAGGGGGGGGGGGGGGGCGGGGGCGGGGGGGGGCGGGGGGGGGGGAGAGGGGGCGGGGTGGCCGACTTTTTTGAATTTTCTGCTTTCACATGTGCTATTTACCCCCCCCCCCCCCCCCCCCTCCCCAGCCTCCCCCCCCCCCCCCCCCCCCCCCCCCCCTCCGCACCCCGCTCGACGGCTCGATGTGCCCTGTAACTAACTCGTGACAACTCCAGGGGTCGTATTCCACACTTCCATCCGAAGGGAGCGGTATTCATCTTGAACGCTCCCTCTCTGGGCGATGGTCATGATCGTCAGCTCGTCAATAGCGGGGAGGTCTCTCCTTCCCGCCACATCCCTCTCTCTCATCTCCCTCCCCCCCCATACGCACACATTGCTACAGTTGTCTTTAGAGGGGATCCACCCTCCCCTCTGCCTAAGGGTGGGATAGCAGTCGGCACCAGAATGGTTTGGCACGCTGTACAGTACACTACATACATAGGAGAAGAAGAGGCGTACTAAGCTGTGAGCTTGGGAGAGGCAGCGTATCGGTGGACAGGTGTCGGTTCAAGCAAGAAGGTCAAGAGGTCCGTGGACGTCCAGTTACGCCGTCCGTGCTCTTTTATCTTGAGGATATGGGCTGCGAGAGTCACTAATGATTTCACCCCGCCTCAAGACCGCCCATTCAATGACCACCAAATTTCTGCGTCCCCAATTGCGGCAGCGAAGAAAAGCGCGGCATTTATGTTGCCTTGTGATAGGTAATAGCATGAGGGCAGCTATCGTCCACCACCTGAAATTAGCGGCAGGAATGACAGCCTTGTCCCTCTGATTTTCAAGCGCGTCGTTTCAGTTTTTCTTGGTTTTCACACCGCTAAACATGTCTACTTTCACTCTGCTAAAATTCCCATCGAGGGGTAGATATATTCGTAATCCATAGGATCGGGTAGGCGTGGCTGCGTACTTAATTTTAGAATGGCGCCGGTCCAGGAGAACGCGATGGCAGTTGTGTCAAATTGAAGTTCCCCACGAGTAACCCGTCCTAGGCTATGTTCAGTAGCCACGCCTACCCCGACCAGAATCTCCCTCGAGGAGTGGGGGGAAAAAGCGTGCCCCAGAGGAGTATGGATGCAGGGCTGTGATAGCCAGAGAGACGAAGGGTATCCGTAGAGAGAACTACAGAGAGTTGAGGTCTACGGGGATATGTTCCTAACCACGCAACGTATAGCGTACGGTGCACCGAGCCAGATTAGCATACCTCTGCCTTGAATTTAAGATACTCAAGCATTCAAAGCACGAACCAGAACGCATTCGATGTGCGAGTGCTGGAACTCGCCGATAAATCCAAAGCAACATCGATGCCTCGACGGACCATGAAAGAATATTCCATCCGATGATGACCAAGCAGCACATAGACCGGCTCATGGAGTCAAGCATGACACCGGCTATGAGAGGCGTCAGAAATGAGGACGCTTGGTCGATAACAGTCATAGCCGCATTCTGTGCTGAAATTCTAAGAGAGTTTGTCAGAAGAAAAAGAACAGATGCGAAACTAGTAGAATTCTCAATAGATGGGAGAAAAATCTAGCTTGCAAAAAAACTTCAAAAAAAAATGAAAATGAGTTTGAAATTGCAACTTCTTGCTTTCTGTATGCTAATCGCTTAGTTTTTTCATGCTTAATTATTCAGTTCTTGAACGGTTTCCTGGTCCCTACCCTACCCGTCCAGAAACAATGTCGCGCTGTTATATGAGCGGGAGGATCCGCGTAGTAGGCTTCAGATCACTAGCCAATCGGGGGCGCTCTGGACACTGGCTAGGAGCCCGTAGTGGTTAGTTGCCCGAAGTTCGCTAGAATCGCCTCACCCACATTCATGAGGCAGGTTTCACTCTCAGCGTTGCTGATATTAACCCGATTAGCTATAGTCTAGTTCGCTGCGGACGAATGGGCGTTTCAGGTGGGATGAGTTCGGCGCGGTGCCAAACATATTCTCCCACAGCGAGCGGTTGAGACGACTGCATCACACCGTTCGTATCACTCGTTTTCCAACAATTGTTGTCGCATATCCTTTCAACAACTGGCAGAGAAGGGTTAAGGTGCCGTGGCTCCTACTGCCTGACACGCCCCTTCATCCGCGCGAACTAGAGTATACATAGGATCGAAGCAGTCATGTAGAAGATCAGGAAATATAGGATATTTTTCATGGCATCACATTTGAGGATTGAAGGTAAGACTGACAATCGACCAAGTATAGTATAATGAATGATAAAGATTAGATACCAGTAACAGTTCTTATTCGGACTGGGAAGATAGCGCTTGAACCGAATAAATAGGCTACTTCACTCACTGGACAGACGAGCTCCTTTGGTTTTTGCGATGACCACGACAATCCAGTCTTTGGTAAAAGCGGTCTTCTGAGCTTCAGATGCTACCCGAGAGACGGAGCCGAACAGAATGGCAAAGAGAAGGTACAGCTGAAATCCTTCACGATAGATTATTCAGAGGATTAGACGATTCAAGCAAGTTTGCAAGACTTTCATCTTTCTCAACGAATACGCAAACCAGAAAGTTCCCTTAGGAGGTAATGTGTCGCCCGATAATTCTCGTTGGAAGGGCGTAGACGGGCAGAAAGTGGGCGCGGTCTAGCTTCTATACGACTCCCCACGACAGTCTTAGCGCCTGTTTTTATTACATAGTTAAAAAATATTCTTAATTACTCACCGTTTTCATCCAGTTCGATTCGACTCGATATGAATCGGAAAGATTGAAGAAAAATATCAAAGCAGACAGTGATATTGCAACATTATTAACGAACAGGACTGCTTGCATGCCTCAAAATGACATACTTAAAACTCGTTAATAGTCATGAAATAAAGTATTGCATTTTTGCGTAAACCAGAGGGTTTTCTTGGAAGCAAAACTGCTTGGTGCACGGCACAGCCCATCCAGTTCATATGGGCAGGGTCGGGCATCTTGCTGCAAATTCTCTGTTGTGCGCATCTCTCATGTGAAAGAAGGAAGCGACAAACGCGCCAGTGAGGAGGGCACAATGGCGTGACCCCGCCCACATGATCATCGCGGACTGTGCTTAATCAGCTGTTTCAGCAGAGATATGGCAACATCATTGAAGAACAGGATTGCGTGCCTCAGATAATAACACATTTTTGCCTTTAATGTGTTCACTCTGATTTGAAAGCAGCGGTCAATAAAATCGATCGATACCTCTATTTCTGTTCGTCTTATCGAGCATAGAACCCAATACTGGTGTGAGAATGAGTTTTGCAAGTGAATCAAGAAGCTGATGAATTGCGATCCAAGTTATACCGCCGAGTTGATGCAAGAATAATCCAATGGCGAACATCCATAGTCTATCACCCTGAATGAGATCACATCGATCGATATTTACCATATATTCGATCAGTACAAGTCATGTGGTTTGTTAGAAGCAGAGTCCGCGATCAGCTGAGAGGTAAAATCCTTTTGATATCTGCTGAGTAGACATGACTTGAGCGCAGAAGCTACCATCTATAACCTGTCAGGTCATATGGGCGAGTCGGGCCTACTGTTGTGAATTCTCTGTTGCCCCACCACCCATATGAAAGAAAGAGGAGAGATGGGCCAACGAGGGAGGCGCAATGGTAGCCCTGACTCCGCCTATATGATCATTGTGGACTGTGCCTTAACAAACTATTTAAAATATAGCTCAGTCTGCCTTTTGCCAATTGTTTCATCGTTCTGCCTTGGAGAGTTCACTCCGACTGCAAAGCAGCTGTCAACAAAGCCGAGCCATCTTTCGTGAATTCAAAGTGGGACCAAGCACGCCAGGGTCTAATTACTTAGGATTGCCCACTGTTTCTCAGGGCCGATAACCTTGACACAATGAGCTATGTATCAGCTTGCGATGGGCCAAAAATCCAATAATTAGGATAAGAATACCGATGTTTCTAGCCAGTAGGCACCTTTGCCATTCAGGAGGAAAAGTGTTAACAAAGAGAGATATAGAGTTCCTTGTATGTCAAAATAGAATAAGATCCAGACCTATTTCATTTTCCATTTGGAAGCTAAAGGAATAATAGATGCAAGTTCACCTACAGGTAGATGCCTTTTACTATTACCTCTCAATCATCTCCAGTGACATTGATAAGAGAAGAAGCACCAAGAAAATCATGCCAATCAAAGACAGTTCCTGCGATCAAGTGATCTGTGAAATGGCTCCATGCATTTGGAAGCCAAATTCGCACTTGCGGAGAGTGCACCCCTTTCATCACACGGACGTGCGAGGTAAAGCAGTCACGAACGCGCCGCACCCTGCTTTAGCGTTTTCACACTACAAAACAATAAGTTCCACAGCTAGTTACCGCGCGTGTTGCCTGCAGCGTTATAGGACGACCTCACCTGCCTTTCACGGCAGCGTTTCTGCTTTTGCAAGGGCAGTGGTCATTTCGCTTTCAATAAATTTTCGGAAACAAGCAGGAGTCCCTTCCGCAAGGCAAGATGTCTCGTAAACCAGAGCCTTAGTTTCGTACACAGAGTTTTCGAAAGCTAGTTCCTGTAACGTGTTTCAAACAAGTATTTCATTTCGGTTTAATTTCAAACATCGAATGTATTTCAGTGCTGTAAGATACAAGGAAACGATTTGTGGGCCAGGGGAAACCAAGAAACCGCAGAGAAGCGATTGGCCAGCAAGCAGGGCACTGTTGGTGGGGATTCCCCAACATGGGGTTGTATTTGCTGTCGCTGGGAGAAGGGGGTCTATTACCTTTCTGACCTTCTGGGAGAGGGGAAAATTCTCGATAGATTCCGAAAGAAGTGGGTAGGAAGTTGGAGAACATTTATATGAATAATGGTAGAAATGAAGGGGTCGTACTTCTCTCGCGGTTTTCCCCGCCTCAATGTGCTATATACTCCCTCCGCTCGACAGCTCTATGAGGAGGGAACCCAGAGGGGGGGGGGGCGTACCGACCCCCTGAAAAGGGTTGGGGGCTGTGCGGATAAGGACAAAACCCCCAACTAATGTGCCCTGCCAGCACGTCCGGAGATCTCGTGCAATGAGTCTGTGTTACTGTCTTATAGATTCATTTATGATGTTTCTGAAGTTTCCTCTAGTTTTTCCCTTTACACCTATAGAGAGTAACCTATCTTGTATTGGTTCATAATTGAACGCCCACTATTTGTAATACTTGATCGAAGGAATTATCTTCAACCGAACCTCCATTACAATTATTTAAAAAAACGCACTGCGCTCCTTGTTTCTCAATAAAATTACTTTCTCGTTCAAATCCCCGCATCGGTGAAGGTTCATTGTTAGCGAAGGAGAAGCGTTATCTCCGTTGAACCGTTGAAAGTTCAAAGACGACACAAGCACTTATCAGTGTCTGACTGGACGATAATCGGCTTACCCATCATAAAACTCGGAAAAATGATCATGAAATCAAAAACGATTAATGAGACATATTGATTGCAAGACGGATTGAAAGAAGCTTATGGCAGAAGACCACGAAAGCGAGTTTGTAACGAACACAAAACTACTGAAAAGGGGCTTACCGCGTGATGCCTGATTCTCAAAGGAGTTGGTGAGCTCAAGGAGGTGGTACAGAGCAGTTAAAGGGGTAACATATCGCCGATAGATACTGTTGAATGTATACAGGGTATTAATTCTTCAGCCATACAGGGCGCAATTTCAGGGAGTTCCTAACGGGGTTCCGTACACACAGGTTTTTTTTGACTCGGTTACCCCCACTCAGCAGGAGGGTTTTCGAATGTTTACAGTGGGAGTCATACCGAATGGAGAAATTAAGGAGGTGGGGGGGGGACGTACCTGGCAGGAATGTTCCAGAACGTGAGATATCCTGATGTTATGACCATCATTAATACAGCCCCGAACGATCCACAAGATTGTGTTAAAGAGAAAGGTGTAATAAGTATAAGGATAAAGCCTTCGCCAATCCCTCTGTGGGAGGCGGCACGCATTCTACTTCCATTCAGAATCGTAGTGCCGTATTGAATGCTATTTGACCAATACATGGACTTGCAGGGGCCAGCGGATGTACAAGTCAGTTTCCTTATCTTACTCAAGCAACTTACTGTTCCAGAGAGTAGAAGGCTTGTTTGTCCTGGGTGGTAGTCGACCCGGGACTTGCGAAGGACTGCGCGAGTGGTAAGCGCCTCTTCATTGGTGGATGGCAACACCTGTGATGCAGTAAGCGGGTGGAAGTTGGCCTGCAGGCAGAGCCACGGAAGGATTCCCAAGGTGCTTAAATGGTGAGATGCGTCTGTGGCTGAACTTGCTGAACAGGGTTGAAAACAGCAATGGGAGAGGATAATGCAGGTCTGTATCTTCAAAAGCAGCGGCTGTAGCGGCACAAACCCGTAGTGGGAAGGCCTGTATATGGTTTGGTACTGCCACAGGTCCCCAATGCGGTTTATAGCAAAGCGGCTGTCACAGTCGTTGCGGGGGTTAAAACCCCTGGAGTCAATTTTCGGTGAAAAATTTGAAAGCGGTTTGTTTTCGGAAGACTGGAGCAGTAAAAGGTGAAAGTCAAAAATAAAATACATAAAGTAAAAATAAATGAGGAGAATGACCATCCACAAATAATGTCAGGAAAGTTGCAAAATTAATTCGACACTCACCAAAGCTGAAATGAGGAAGGCAAGATTAAGAGCGGAGGCGGATCGTAAAAACGTCTTATTCTCCTTCACGTAGGCCCGTATCCGTTGTGATCGATTCATTTTCCAGGCGATAGCCCTAAACATCACTTTCAAAGTGTTTGAGCTCTGACTCATGAGGTGATTAGCTGGCCATAGACGCGGACCATTGAACACATCAAATGCCATAAAATGCGAGAGAATAGAGGGAGGAAGGAAAGTAAGGCTTCACGCTAGAGAACAAACTTTCCCCTCGTACAAGGTTTGCAGAGGTCATTAGGTTCGTTTTTACCAAAGAGTCGTAGGCCTACAGTAGCTTTTGTAACGAATAGCAACGAGATATGTAGCTACACAATAGAGAAAGCTCTGATATGAGCGTTAGACCGATCGCACAGAGGTATGTAGTACAGTTGTAAGCGGTGCTTACCAACGCCGCAGATCGGTTCTTGTCTAGTGCAGGAGGACCTTTCTTTAAGGCCTACGCTTGCTTATCAGTACTAGTTTTTGTGGGAGGGCTATGACGTGAAATTGTAGTCCTAACAAGTTAGTATGCACTCATATTTGAGCACCTGACTTGAAGTCAGCTCACTGATACCATCACACCACCACCGGGTCCTAATTGATCGCTGAGAGGAATTTTTCTCCATTATTAATTTTTTTTCGTTCCACGTGTGCTATATACCAAGTTAGTGATGAAGGGGCAAAACAACGGTTGCTGGTAGATACACTCGTTATCCCTGAGCCAGGGTAGGCGAGGTATTTGAACAACGCACGGAACTGGTTACTCGTGAAGTAGTCCAGCTTGGGACAACTGTCATCTTGTTCTGTGTTGGACATAGACACGACAACAATTGTGTCAAGATAAAAACACCTCACCAGAAGCATGGACACCTTTAGATTAAGTTGAAATATTTGGCCACGCCTACCCGGTCTCACGGATTTCGAGTGTAATCATAGGACTACGCGCCTACTCGCCTCCCCCCCCCCCCTCACCCTTCGAGTGAGTACCGAAAGCGCTATTTCATGGATCCTGTAATGAATCCTGCTCCGAATAGGATTTAAAGCGTTGCCTATCGAAACTGACAATTATTGGGCATTACATTTCACCTTGTTCTCTTGATCACATCAGAGAACTGCAAAGATCGTGGAATTCTCTGAGCGCCAAATTCATAGCCTTAGGCGATACGAGTTGAAGAGTCGAGCTAATGGAGCTTTCGTGCCTTCTTTGTAAATATGTTACAAATACTTCGCAGCAGTTTAAGGAAGCGGGGCTGAGTTGCTTTGCGTTACAAAGAAAATCAATAAAAACCCGATTAAAAAGGAAAACAACATCGCTGCTGAGGTTGCTGAAAACGGACTATTCATCGACAACTCAGAACACGCCCTGACAATGAGGAATGTCTTCGCCATGTAAGACCTCTCCTCTCATTACCTTCAACTTTCCGTACAGTGGGGAGACTTTCCATGATCAAAAAATACCCGTCCCTGCACTCTTACACTTCTTTAGAAATCCTTTAGCACACGCCGAGCTGTAACTGCACGTCCTTCATGTGGTTTCTGGTTGACTAGTTATTCACTCTGTTATCGAAACATCAAAGCTTCTTAGCTTGGAAATGGTCATATACCCAAGGGAACAGCCAATGTAAAATACCCTACTCCTTTTAGGTTTATGCAGATTACTCATGCGATCGTTGCCGTACGCGTGAGAGCGGTACGGGCTTGAGAAATAGAATAAAGTACCCGAAGTGCACTATACAGGGGGGG